TAAGTTGCCTTTTGGCTTCAGATTCTGCTAGCAGGAAGATATTTTGAACTGGATCTTGTCAAATCATTTTTTGTCTTTGGACAAACCCACACTGCTCACATTTTTGTTTTTTGGCCAGCATTTTTTTTTCTAATTACGGTATCATTGATATACACTCTTATGAAGTCTATATATTTTTTTCACTTTTTCTTTTAATAAGATATTGTTGATATACACTCTTATGAAGGTTTCACATGAAAAACAATGTGGTTACTATTTACCCATATTATCATGTCCCCCCCACACCCCAGTGCAGTCACTGTCCATCAGTGCAGCAAGATGCCACAGAGTCACTATTTGCCTTCTCTGTGCTACACTGTTCTCCCCGTGAACGCCCACACCGTGTGTACTAAACATAACACCCCTCAATCCCCTTCTCCCTCCTTCCCACTCCACCCTCTCCCACCCCCTCCCATTTGGTAACCACTAGTCCCTTCTTGGAGTCTGTGATTCTGCTGCTGTTTCGTTCCTTCAGTTTTGCCTTGTTGTTATACTCCACAAATGAGGGAAATCATTTGGTAGTGGTTTTTCTCTGCCTGGCTTATTTCACTGAGCATTTTACCATCTAGGTCCGTCCATGTTGTTGCAAATGGTAGGATTTGTTTTCTTCTTAAGGCTGCATAATATTCCATTGTGTATATGTACCACATCTTCTTTACCCATTCATCTACTGATGGACACTTAGGTTGCTTCCATATCTTGCCTGTTGTAAATAGTGCTGCAATAAACATAGGGGTGCATGTGTCTTTTTGAATCTGTGATCTTGTTTTTCTTAGGGTAAATTCCTAGAAGTGGAATTCCTGGGTCAAATAGTATTTCTATTTTTAGTTTTTTGTGGCACCTCCATACTGCTTTCCACAAAGGTTGAACTGATTTACATTCCCCCCAGCAGTGTAGGAGGGCTCCCCTTTCTCCGCATCCTCGCCAGCATTTGTTGTTCCTTGTCTTGTGGATGCTGGCCATTCTAACTGGTGTGAGGTGGTATCTCATTGTGGTTTTAATTTGCATTTCCCTGATAATTAGCGATGTGGAGCATCTCATGTGCCTGTTGGCCATCAGAATTTCTTCTTTTGAAAAGTGTTCAGCTCCTCTGCCCATTTTTTATTTGGATTATTTGCTTTTTGGGTGTTGAGGCATCTGAGTTCTTTATATATTTTGGATGTTAACCCCTTGTCAAATATGTCATTTACAAATATATTCTCCCATACTTTAGGATGCCTTTTTGTTCTACTGATGGTGTTCTTTACTGCACAGAGGCTTTTTAGTTTGATGCAGTCCCATTTGTTCCTTTTTGCTTTTGTTTCCCTTGCTTGAGGAAATGTGTTCAGGAAAAAGTTCCTCATGTTAATATTCAAGAGATTATTTCTGTTTTAAGAGTTTTATGCTTTCATGACTTACATTCAGGTCTTTGATCCATTTTGAGTGTACTTTTGTATATGGATTTAGACAGTGATCCAGTTTCATTCTCTTATACATAGCTGCCCAGTTTTGCCATCACCAGTTGTTGAAGAGTCTGTCATTTCCCCATTGTATGTCCATGGCTCTTTTATTGTATATTAATTGTCCATTTAAACTCGGGTATATATCTGGGCTGTCTATTCTATTCCATTGATCTATGGGTCTTTTCTTCTGCCAGTACCAAACTGTCTTGATTACTGTGGCTTTGTAATAGAGCTTGAAGTTGGGGAGCGTAACCCTCCCAGCTTTAATCTTCCTTCTCAGGATTACTTTGGCTATTTGGGGTCTTTTGTGGTTCCATATGAATTCTGGTTCGTTGAAGAATGCTGTCAGTATTTTGATAGGGATTGCATTGAGTCTGTAGATTGCTTTAGGCAGGATGGCCATTTTGACAATACTCCCTATCCACTAGCATGGGATCTGCTCATAGTTTTGTGTGATAAAATTTCTCAGGAAAACAATTATTTCTTAACTAAAATTTGGAACTCTTAGGAAAAAAAGTGATGATTTGAGGTAGTTATATTTAAATCTGTAATATTTGTCACATCTTTTTAAATGGCAAGTGATTTTTTTTTTGAGGTTCATACAACAAAATACACAGTGTACAATGGCAAGTGATCTTGAGGAAGAAAATGAAATTTTAAAAGTTCTCTCTAGATTTCCATTTTCCTTGCTTCTCTTGTCCCCATTATGGATATTTGACTATTAGATACAACTATTCACTTTGAACTATGAGGAGCATCTGAAATGTTCCAACTGCCTGGAGTGAGAGGACATTCCTTTCTTGAAAGAAATGGGGTGTTATTTTCAACATTTTTCGAAAAGTATTCAGTGATTCAGTTACATTTACTCTTCTTTAATCTTTCTTCCTTTTAAATAATGCCTGCGTGTGGGATCCAGATGAGGGTAATTTAAAAACCAGTTTTAGGTGCACAC